TTCAGCTGGAAGGAAACCCAGCTGAAGAGGAGGTGAAGTTGCTTGTCCGAGGTCTCAGGCAGTTGACTCCAGAGCTTTCTACATCCTTTAGTAACTCGGACGACACTGCAGGAATGATGCCCATCTCGGTGGATTGTGAGGCCAAGTTTTACAGGTAGAAATGGAACTACCCATTGAACCAAGTATCACAGAGTGAAGTGCTGAATACATGGGTATAACTGTTACTGCTAAGTCATGATCAGATCTAGCACCTGAGCTCGAAGCCTGGTGCCTGCAAAGCAGCCAGGTGCTGATTCTCCACCCCTGCGCATCCTATGAAACCTCTGAACAAGGACTCTGAATATTTTCTTTTTATCTGTAGCTTATCCCCAGAAAGGTTGGGCACACAATGGCTATTCAGTCAGTGGGCACTTATTTTGGTTTAATGCTATTTATTTTTTTTAAATACTTATATTTTAGCTTTAGGTAGATACCGTATCTTTATTTTACTTTTATGTAGTGCTGAGGATTGAACCCAGTGCCTCATACATGCTAGGCAAGTGCTCTACCACTGAGCCACAGCCACAGCCCTGGTTTAATGCTATTTAAACCAGAGCTTTATGTAGACTTTCTAATTCAAAAGTAATACAAACTCAATACAGAACATTTTGGGGGTGGAGCAAGCAAAAATTAATCTTGTCATTTCAGTGCCACAGAAAGGTATTGATAGGTACTATCACTTCTTTTTCTTTTCTTTTTTTGGTACCAGGTTTGAACCCAGGAACGTTTAACCACTAAGCCACAAACCCAGCTTTTTTTTTTTTTTTTTTTAATTTTGTGACAGGTTCTCCTAAGAGCCTTACTGAATTGCTGAGGTTGGCTTTGAACTCAGGATCCTCCTGCCTCAGCCTCCCAAGATGCTAGGATTACAATGTGCCACCATTCCTGGCTAGGTATATGTCATTTCAACAGGCCACTAGATTTTCATTAAAAGTTTCAGATAATCAAGTGTTAAGTGTTAGAAAAGGAAGGGCTCTAAGCAGGGCCACGGTGTGGAATAAAGGCCCCATGCTGGTGTGGTACACTCTGCAAAGACACAGAGCAGCCTGGCTCTCAGCTTACTGCTCAGTGTCTGAAGCTCACTCCCCTCCAACACACCACAGGGAGTGTCGCGTTCTTCCAGAGCTGTTGACTCAGGGCAGTCATAATCTCGCAAAGGAGGGGGAGGGATGAGGGCTGTGCCATCCTCCAACAGGATAGCGCATAACATCTGAGAAGGAGCAGAAGTCATCTGGAAAGAAAACTCAGGTGCTTCTGATATTAAATCCATCCTTATTGTGACTCACTAATCTGGCTTTATAGGATGGAAACTGGGGCTCTGAGAGGAGGGGATTACTCAGAATAAAGAGGCCAGAGGTCAGGGAGAACTTGAATTCAGAACCCTAACTTAGTCCAATTCTACCAGAATGGGGTCAGGTGAATTCAAATCTCAATTCCTTCACTTATTAGCTTCTGACTTTCGGCAAATCAATTAACCAGCAGAAGCCTCAGTTTCTTCATCTATAAAGTAGGCTGTCATCTTCTTCATTAGGTTCAAATGAAGATTAAAAGAGGGAGGAAGAAAGGCTTTTCTAACAACTGAGCGCCAGGGACTGCACAATGTGCTTCTCGTGCATTACCTCACTGAGCACTCACAATAGCCTGACAGGGGCTGGATGTTATTTTTATAACCATTTACAGGTGAGGAAACTGAGCCTCAGAGCTTAAGTCATCTGCCCAACATCATGGAGCAAGTAAAAGGCCTGGCTGAGATCTGATTGTTTGGTTTTGGTACTGGGGATTGAACCCAGCAGCGTTTTTACCACTGAGCCTCACCCCTAGTCCTTTTTTTTTTTTTTTGAGACAGGGTCTCACTAAGTTTCTGAGGCTGGCCTGAGCTTGTGATCCTCCTGTGTCAGCCTCCAGAGTTGCTGGGATTCCAGGTGTGCACCACTGTGCCTGGCTGAGCTGGGATTTAGAATTTCATCAGTCTTAGAGCCATCCCATAACACAAGTAATTCTTAACACAGTGCTTGCAAAACACAAACACTAACCAGCAGCCATCATTATTTACTGTTATTGTGAATATAATCGCTATATTACATATGATTGGTTGGTCTCTGTTTTTAATCTCGACAGAGAGAACCCAAGAACTGGGTTATCCCAGAAAGGGAAAGAAGGGTCAGCCTCACCCAGTCCTAGGCCAAAATCATGCTACCCAGGAGCCGGGTGGGATGCAGCAACACCTGGGCCATGTCTCTTTAAAACCTTGGTCTCTGAGTTGTGGAATGAAGGCCTGGAACAGTCTTGCCTCCTAACAGGGAGTTGTCACTGCTCTTTGAGGGGTCCTCTAACATTGCAAACTGATTCATGGTGTCCCTGCCTACTCCAGACCCTGGGTAGGATGGAGGGATCCCTTGTTCCTCCATCCTTCCCAGGGGACCACCTGGAGCCTTCCAATGTGTGGAGGCAGAGAAATTCTCTCCATGACTCGGGCCTTTGCACATTTCCAGAAATGGGCTTGGGTGACCAAAGAGGCAGGACCCAAAGAGAGGGAGAGAGAACCTGTTTTTAAAAGCCCAGTGAAGCCAGGTGTTGTACATACCCGTGATCCCGGCAACTCAGGAGGCCAAGGCAGGAAGAGCACATGTTCGTGGTCAGTCTGGACAACTCAGCAAGACCCTGTCTCAATAAATAGGGCTGGGATTTAGCTCAGAGACACAGTGCCCTTGGCTTCAGTCGCCAGTTCTATAGACATTCATCAATTAAAAAGTTCAGTGAGCCGGGTACAGTGGCACACAACTATAATCCAGCCACTTGAAAAGACCACAAGTTGGAGGGTAGCGTGGGCAACTTGGTGAGACCCTGTCTTAAATTAAAACATAAAGGGCTGGAGATATAGGTTAGTGGTAGAGTGCCCCTAGGTTCAATTCCCAGTACTGCAAAAAAATAAAAATAATAAATAAATAAATCTCTAAGCCGAGAGAGCACAGACATGCCACGTAGAATTCCAGCCCCCTCCAGGCCCAGCCAGTGTGAGTCACCCCAGCCCTTCACAGCGAATTGCAACACACTGACAGAAACTCCACAGCCTTCCAAGGTGTGCAGACAGGTTCGCACAGAGAAGTGTGCCACCCTTTGGGCTGCAGCACGCTGTGCAGTTACAGTTGGCCAGAAGAGCCTTCCTGCCACCAACAGCCCCTGGGAAGGGGCTGCTCAGCAGGGCTGTGCTCGCCATTAAATCCCAGCTCCAGCTCTGCCGCTGCGGGGGGTGGGGGGGACCCCAAGCCATCAGCTTAATCCCTCGGTACCGCAGTCTGCTCATCTCTAAAGTGGGAACATGGAACGATAAGTGTCCACTCCCAGGGTGGTTCAAGCATTAAATAACACACGTGAAGGTGGAGCTGGGACACACAGGGTATGGAGACCTGCTGGAAGCCAGAGCCTGAAGGGGAGATTCACAGCGTTCGTATTCCAGAGGAAGGGCAGACAGACGAACAGTTAGAAAACTATCCAAAAAGTCCCAAGGCCTCTGCAGAGAACACAAATGAAGTGGTGTGACACAAAGAACTGAATATCTCCTTTGACAAAGGTGATTGGAGGGGACTGCTCTGAGGAGGTGGCTTAATTATCAGCAACTATTATTATTTCCTATTGTGAGGGCCCGTGGGGTGCCTCCACACACACTCCAATGAGAGACCAAACTCTCCAGGTTCTCAAACCCAAGAGGGCACCTTTGAATTCTGACTTTCTGGCGGCAGCAGCTGAGACAGAAACCAGGTTCCCTGGAAGACCAGGCCAAGCGGGAGGGGGCAGCAAGAGAGAAGGGGAAGAAAAGATCCCGAGATCTTCAGCTTACATTTAATTTCAAATTAACCCTGGTGGAATCTCTTTTGAAAGCCCCGGAGTTCTCCTCTTTGTGTTTGGGGATATTCTGGGGTTACCGACCTTGTTCTTTATAGAAGACAGCTCCTGGCCATTATTCCACAGTTGCTCTAACAGGCATCTGATTTCCCGAGTTCCCAATGTAGAACAAAGCACTTAGGAGTCTGAGAACCACTGGCCAGTTCAGGCCTCAGAGGTGGACAGCTTCAACTTGTCCATCCCTTCTGTGCTGGCCAGAGGCCCATGGTTTGCCCACATCCCATTTAGATCTGTATCATAGTAGATAAAAGCTGCGCTAGCCCCACTCTCCCGCCACTGCTACCACCCCCACCACACATACACACACACACACACACACACACACACACACACACACGGTAAACTCCTCCAGAGGAGTAACCCTGGTTTTTTGGCCTCTGTTTCCCCAGAACCGTGAGTAGGCCCTCACATACATCTGGTGCTTAATAGATGCACCCTGAATTGAGACCACTAGATTCAGCTCAAGGGGGAGTCACACTTAGAGGAGAGGACTGAAGACCCAGACGCACTCTGCCACTCACTAGCTTGTGCCCTCGGGTAAATCAAGCCTGCATTTCCTCCCTCCTGTGCCGTGGGCGTAGGAGAGGAAGGCAGAGGCGAGGTGACCGGAAGTCCACCATTGTGGGTTACTAGGAAAATCAAAAGAAATCGCTCGGATAATTGCAAAACGTTATTTATAAATGTCATCCTAAGGGGGAAAGTCCTGAGGAATAGAAGGGAACGTAGCCGAGGCCTTCCTGGGGAGGGTCTGCTCTCCTTTGACATTTCCCAGTGGCAGAGGAGGGGACAATGGAATTTGGTGGTGGTAGGGGGATGTTTCTGGGATCAGGGACACCGACTAGAAACAGGGATGGAGGTTTTTTTTTTTAAGCCCTGTCTGTTTATCCTGTACTTTCGGCTCGTCTTCTTACCTCTTTCCAACCTGACTGTCCCCTCCTCCCTCCTCCGCTCATCTCCGCCCCCCGCCCCCTCGCCCAGCAGGGAATTGGCCGGCCGCGCCCAGCCGGCCCGTCTCCGCCCCCACGCGGCGGCCAGGAGTTAACAGCTGCACCTGTTAGGTATCCCCGCAGTCGCCGGCACCTGTCCCCGCAGCCAATCAGCGCCCGCGCTGCTGGGAACCTAGCTGTCAGCAAAACCCCAACACCCAAACCTCAACATAAATCAAACACTGCCCTAGGCCGGGGATGTCTGTGTCGCGCCCGCACTAGGGACGCGCGGTCAGCAGAGCCCCAGCGCCGCTCGGGTGGCCGCAGCCGGGAGCAGGAAGATGTCGAATGAACTTGAGTGAGTACGGCGGCCGCGGCCGGCGGGGGCTCGGACGGGGTTCCCCGGGGGTAGAGCGGGGAGGCCGGCGCCGGGGTTCATACGGCAATTTGTTCGGGTGAATGAATGGGCCGCCGCTCGCGCTGCGTGCCCAGGCAGGCCCCCGCGGCTCGCGCTCAGCGTTTCCCTGGGAAAGTGGCTCTTCTCTTTTCTCTGCGGAGCAGTTTCGAGCCAGCTAGGGGAAACACGGGACTGAAACTGGAGGGTTTTGGCACCACTTTCTGATCCTCCGAAGGGGCCTCGGAAATGAGAGACAATCCTAACCTGATGGAGGCTTTCTATCTTCTTGCCAAAAGGAACTTCTTGGAGGTGGTTCCAATAGCGTCTTGGGCAGAGAGTTGGGTTTCTCTAAAGGGACTTGTTTGTTGAGCTGGAACCATCCCAAGCGAGAAAGGTACAGTGAGCGTGGCGGTGGAACGTGCGCACTCTGTGGTGGGCTTGACCTAGGTTCAAATCCAGACTGTCCCTGGCATTTTCCTTGTCTGGACAATGGGTACAAGACTCTTTGGTAGGATTCTGGAGAGAGTTAAGTGGCTGAAGTCTGTAAAATGCTTAGCCAGAGCCGAGGTCTGAAGAGGTGTCCATAAAATGTGGTTGATTTTATTCAAAGGCAGTTCTAAGGCTGGGGAAGCTGAGGAGTGGTTTTTGGTGAGGTCACCTCTGTTGCCTGGCAGGAGGCAGGTGCATCCCAGCCCACATTTGGGATTTAGAATTCTGATTGGCTAATGCTGATCTTTAGTGTGGACCCCCAGGCTAGAGGTCCAGACCTCAGAGGAGGTGGGATGAAGCTAGGATCTGGGCTGCTTGGGTTCAGGACGCTGGTAGAAACCAGACCTTTCAAACAGTGTCTTCTTCCGGCCACCCTCAGAGATGAGTGGGCAGAAGCAAGAGTTGAAGAGTCTTTTTTTTTTTTTTCCCTCCTCCAAGCTATTCGATTGATTGGTTTAAGAACTTAAAGACCTGCAGGCAGAGCAGTTGGCTGGTCCAGTATTCCATGATACTAGCCAGCTTTGGGGCTCTTCTGGGTTGGTCAGTTATGATCATAGTACAATCACTGGGGTTAACAGGCATCAGATAACATTTGAATGAATTTCCCCGGGTTGACAAAGTGTTGACAATTGGGACCACAATGAGTAGGAGCACTGCACGGAAGCTTGGGGTCAAGTCCCAGCCCAGCCACTTATCTGTGGCCCGGGCACCCCAGGTTCCTTAGGTTCCAAGAGCCAGTGAAGGCCCAACAGTTTGTCAACTAGGCAAGTTGCTTCACTTCTTGGGATCCTTGCCTGTAAATTGTGGCCAATAGCGGTACCTACCTCACGGAGTTGTTCAGGATTCAATGATTTTAGATTAGTGATTGCTTTAAAGCCTGATTGAAAGCAAGCTAACAACTCCGTAGTTATTTCATATAAAAAGAAACAACTGAGCTTTTATGAACCCTCTTGCTTTCCAGTTTCCACACTTGGAACATACACAAAAATATTTTGAGATGTGTCTCCATCCCATTTAGATCTGCTGGTTAAAACTGCAGATCTATTTGTTGCAGACAGAATCTATTTGTGTTGCTCCTCAGGGGGCAAGTGTCCGGAAGCGGGATTACTTGGAGAAAGATTTTCTACTTTTCTCCTCTTTAGTGATTTGGGATTTGAAGTCAGGTCCGCAGACAGTTGAGGCTTCTCTATTTGGGTGCTTGGAGAAGGAAGCCTGTGCCTGCTGAGTAATTGCAGGCTGACTCTGAAGCCACCACTTGAGATTACAATGACAGAGCCTGGGGCTCAGCTGCCCCTACTGATAAGGGGGGGTTACTAAGTGCTTGGCTTGCAAGTTCTGAGCTGCTGCTGTTGCCGCCTTCAGTCTTGCTGGGGCAGCCCCTGAAGAAGCATGGAGCTGAGAAGACTGGTTCAAACTTACGTTTTGAGCCTTGATGGAAGGACCAACTCTTGCTAACCCTGGGTGCAGTGCAAAAAGCTGAACTTGAATCTCTCCATTCTGCCTCTTACCAACTGCAGGGTCCTGGTGAATTTGTCCTCCCTGACCCTCAGTTTCCCTATCTGTGAATGATGTCTATAAACACCTACCTGCCGGGGGAACAGTGAGCTCCCCTAAGTGGATCACCCGGCTTCAAGTAGGAGATCCAAGAACATCAGCCTGATTACTAGGCCTCGGGTGGAGGGCGGCACTTGGAAGGCCTGGTGTTGGGCAGGATGGAGGCCTGCCGGTGGAGTCAGAAACCAGCTCCAGGCAGCTGGTGGGTGGCGAGCGCCTGGGCCTTTCATGTGGTCAGGCCCAGCGCCGGGCGCCTCCGCCAGCCCCCAGACCTCTGCCAGCCGCCCTGGCTGCCTCCAGCCCGCAGCCTCGCCATGCCCTGGGGCTGGGCCCTGCCGCCAGGGTTCCTGGGGCTGTGGCCCCAGTTCTCGCGGGAAAACGAACGGTGCTGTGTGCCGCGCTGCGCCTGCGCGCAGGCCTCCCTCTGCCTTCCCAAGCGGGCAGTGCATTCCACTGGTGGGGCCTAGTCCAGCTGCTGTGGGCGTCTGGTGACCGGCAGTCCCTTCCGAGTGCCCTGAGGCTCTCCGGGGGCCTACTGTGTGCCTGGCACGCCTGCACCAGCCAACCTCGCGCCTGAGTCGGGTGCGGATCTACCGAGGAAGGAAGCAGGGCTGGGCCACAATTGGACCTGGCACATAGTAGGTCCATCAAATGGAGGCTGAATGTCAGGATAATCCCTGCTGCTTCCCTCATCCCGCAGCCTGAACCCCTACTCCCTTTTGGGAATTTTATCCCCATCCCCAAATCGCCAGAGAGAGGCGACTGGGGGCCGAGATCCAGGCAGGGCCAGTGGCCAAGGCCCGGCCGCCCCGCCGTCCATCTGATCTCGGAGAGCACCGGCTCCAGACTGCCTGGAGCGCTGAAAGAGTTAACCAGGAACGCCTCCCCGCTGCGGTTTTGTGGTCGAAACCATGATTGCCAGGAGCAAATTTTTGTCGTGCACAAGGTGTGTTATTAAAAGTCGGAGCTACGCTGCTGGTGAATGAAAAGTTAAAAGCCCTCATTAAGCCTGGGCTGTAAAACAGGCGGACTGTGCGGAGAGGCTGAGGGACAGCCCTAACGGCGGAGGCCTGGGCACCCCAGGTTCCTTAGGCTCTGAGAGCCAGCGACAGGCCCAACAGTTTGTCAAGAAGTCCCACACTGGGGGACAGGAGCGGGCAGAGAGGCAGCAGAGCTGAAGCACAAGTTGGATCCTCAGCTTTCTGGTGGGTTAAAACAAAAACAGCAGAAATTGAGCACTGACTCCACATTTGACACAGACACTGTGTCAAATACTTGATGGCTACATTGTGGCCTTTATTCCTCCCAACGACACAGAGGTGTAAGTGCAATTTTGCAGAAGAGGGGACTAAGATTTGGCTCAGGAGTGCCCAGGGTCTCACCAAAGAACTGGGATCTTAGATGGGTCTTCATCAGGAGCCAGAACAATGAGCCACAATAATACGGCCATCCTGTGCCTAGACATTTAAAAAGGACAGGGAGATAGGTATATCTCTATATAGATAGAAAATATCTATATATAGATAGAAAACAGTCCTTTTCTCAGAGTGGAAGAAAATGAATGAATTCTCTTTTCTGCTTCCTGTTTCTTTATGGGTTTCACATTTTATATACATATATTTTACAAACCTATGTTGCTTTTGAAATGAGGAAGGGGGAGAGAGGGAGTCGGTGTTAAGAGATTAGTTCACCCCACTATTTTAAAGAGAGACTTGTTAGTTTACCTAGAACAGTGCTCTCAAAGTGTGGTGCCTGGATCATCATCTTCATCATCATCTGGGAACCTGGAAATGCAAATTCTCAGCCCCACCCTAGACCTACTAAATCAGAAACTCTGGGGGTGGGGCTCGGCATGATGTGTTTTAACAGGCCCTCCAGGTGATTCTGATGCATGTTCAAGTGTAAGAACCATTGGCCTAGGAGACCAGGCAGAGGATTGGGAAGCAGGAGGTTCCCAGATCCACTCCTGACCTCAGTGCTGCGCTGAGTCAGCGGGCTGAGGGCCTTGCTCCAGGATCACCTGCTCTGCCACCTGTGGATTGGATGACTTTTCCTCCAGATCTTTAACCTAAGTGTCAGTTTTTGTTCGTGTAAAATAGTGACCAAAACACCCATCTCACAGGACACGTGTGAGAACAAAAAAGGCACAGCACCTAACTGTACCAAACAATTTAGATCCTTTCCCTTCACTTATCTGCCTTCCCTTTCTGGGACTCTGCTTTCCCATTTGTAAAATGTAGCAGATAATCCTCGCTGGCTATCTCTGTCTGTCTGTCTATCTATCTATCTGTCTTCCTACCTCCCTGCCTCCCCCCTTTCTTTCTTTGTCCCTTCCCCCACCCCTTTGCCTCCTAAAAAGGCCAGAGCAACTGACCTAGTGAAAGTCTTCAAGAGAAATGTGTCACTGATGTTGAGTTAGGGTTAGGGCTCGGGTTCGAATCAGGAACTTTCAAGGGCAGGACCAGCGTGGTATTCACCACTGTGTCCCCAGTGCTCTTCACGTGGCCTCTTATAGAGTGACCTTCAGTATGTTGAGTGAATCCGTGAGTGAGTGAACCTCTGGGTGTAGAGGTGGGTTTCAGTTTCTTTCACACCTCAGTTGAATGATTGTGAAAAAAATAGAAAATCTGACAAGAAACCAAGAGCATGAAAGAGCAATTCCCATACAGGAAGAATTTTTCAAAGGGTAGAAACTGAGTTTCTGGTATAATTAGAAAATGGCACATAATTAATTTACATGCAACTAGCAGTGGTTGCTGGAGGCTGACAGCCCTCAACTTGCCCACCTGGATCCCGATGGGGAAGCAGTTGATGCTCACCCCCTTATCTTGGCATCTCCAAGCTTCAAGCCTGCTTCTGCCAGCTGGGAAGAGATGTCCCACTTTACGGTGGGAGAAAGAGAGGCTGTTAACTGTGCA